TTTTTTTTTTTTTTTTTTTTTTTTTTTGGAAAAGACATTTCTGGATCACATGCTTCTGTTCTGCCTTTTCTTGGCTCGCAAGGATGAAATGCAGAGGGCCATGATGTTTGGTGCTGATGGGGCCCCTTTCACTCCTGGCTGGGGCTTCTTGCCTGGGCTCCGTGTCAAGGAGCCGCCGCAGCCACGCGCTGCACGAGGTAGGTTAGGAGCAGGGAAACCACTCGGCATCCCGGGAAAAATAACCCAGCTGCAGGGTCTTGTGCAACAACAAACTGCAGGCTATTAATTTTGCTGACCACATTTCCTACGTGCAACACAAGGAAGCCCCTCAGCAGCAATGTCATATTCAGCTGCTTGGGCGTGAGAACAGTTTTCCCAGCGTGATTTCTCCTGAGCGTCTCCTGATCCCACGTCGCTGTTTGTGGGGTCCGGGATCGCAGCGCTGCACTGCGCCTCTGACAGAGCCCTGCATTTCGTGTGGGTGGCCAGCCAAGCAAACAAGTATTTTTAAGTGAGGTTTGGGGTTGGTGCTGGCAGAGCTTCGTCAGCCTCTCGTTCTGCTCTTGCCCTGGAGCAGCCGGCTCCTGTGGTGCTCTGAGGATGACTTCTTGCTTATTCTGCTGGAAGTGTGGTCTTTCATTAATTTTTTAGTTTGTTCCCTGCTCCCAGGTTTTCATCTTGTTAATTACAAAGACCTCTCTGTTCTAATTGCCAAAAAATGACATATTCCCTGCAACCAGCAACCCGCCAGATTTTAGGTGGGCTGTTAAAGCTTTTGGATTAGATCCCAAAAGCTGTGCTTCTCCTCAGTTTAGGAATTATACAGTTATATTTTTTTCTAGCAAATGTGAACTGTGTATTTGCTACATGTCCCTTCACCAGAAATTCAATAAAATACCATAAGGCTATTGCTAGAGTCACTTCTGTTCACAGAATGCTGTGGAAATCGCTGGTGGTTCTGCGCAGAGGGGATCCAGGTGTGTGATGCTTGCCCTGGGTGCCCGTATACACGTTCACCTGCAGAAACGTGCACTTCACACAAAGCACAGCATTCTGTCAGCAGCAATGCCTAAAAGACCCCTGAAAACATACTTAAAGTGAAATGGAGATCAGGTCTGAAGTAGAGCCACCACACAGAGATGCAGACTCCTGCTGTGCAGCTTGGGTCTCTCTTTCCATTTCTTCTACTGATTTCTACTTTATCTAAATAATCTTCGGAGCAGAGACAGCAGCCCCTGGCCTTGCACTGAAGTGCCATAATGATGGGCTCCTCTGTTGGCTCTCGGTTTTGGAGGAGCTACTGCTGAAGGATCCTGGAGATGCGATGATGGGGAGTGTGGAGGAAGGTCCGAGCTGTCAGAAGGTGGTAGGGGCTGGGCAAGTTGCATGGCTGGAGTCTTGTGGTCCTTTGGAATTGCCATCGGAGCTCCTCAAGATCCAGCCAAACGCTGGCCGAGGTTATGGGGAGCGTTCAACTGGTACCGGGGGCGGCATGAATTGTGTCTCTTACAGCTGAGTCCTTGTTGAAAAGGTCCAAGCTTGGCTCTGGTGATTGCAAGCTGTGTGCAGCAGCCAGGCTGGAAACAACGCACAACTCTTAAGTATCAGACATGATATGTCTGTGTGTGACAGCCGAAGAAAGTTGTGAGAGCATGAACAGAAGTGGGAAAGGCAGATTCAGCAGATTATTTCTATTACAGGTGTGCAGGTGGTTCATGTTTGAGTTTTGGGCACAGTGACACTGTGGTGTTTCGTGTGCGTTGCAGGAGAAGGCTGGTGCCCCAATTGAGGAGATGGAACAATGGGTGGGAGAAAATATGTGTAATTATCTGCTGTTTTACCACCAGGAAATTGATATCACCCGTGGTTCTGTTTGAATAGCATCTTGCAAATTTGATGAAGTTGTTAGCTGTCCTGCCAGAAGAATTTTCATAAGTAATAGTAGAACACTTGTCATCTTTGAACATTTCTGGAACACTTCTGCTGAAGTAATAGTGCTTAATTTGTATTGTGAGCTCAAAAAAAAAAAAAAGGTTTTTCAATCATATCAAGAGTTTTCCTTAGTGCAGAAATTGGTATATTCAAGTGTGGTGGGTTTTACAGAGCATGGCCAACTGCTGGGGAATCTTTAACTGTCCTCATGTAGGCCACTTCTAAAAAGGCCACTTCTAAACATGAAGGTGGAAAGACAAACAGCTTCCTGTCTGAGTATGTTCTTTACCTGTTTATGGGCTATTTAAGATAACTTAGTACAATTAAAAATTGCTTGGAACAGTTCCTAACATATTCCAGATCAAAACTGCTTATGCCCTTCATTAATTCTAGGAGTTGTGCTGAAATAAAATAATACGGAAGTACTTGAAATCTTTGCTCTGTGGTGGTTTTTCTGTTCATTTGTTTTGTTTGGGCAGTATTTTCCATAAGGCTACTTGTTACCCTGTCATACCCTGTCCAATGTGAGGAAGCTTATATTTAGAATAACTCCTATGTTAAAAGAATTTTGCACAGAGGTTGGTGGATGTGAATGGGATATTCTGCTAATGCTGGAAATTTTATTATATTCTGCTAATGCTGGAAATTTTATTGTAGAAGTTTCCACTAAATTGGATGTACAAGGAAACAATTTATTGTTGTCTTAGAGCAAACGGGAGGAGACCCACAACTCCAGACTGCAGAATTTAATTTTTGAAAGACTTTCAGGTCACCCTTGTATTCTCTATTGAAGAGATAATGATAAGCCAAGGAAGAATTCATATCTTGGACAGCATCTTTCCTGTGTTTTTTTTCCTACTTTATTGTTGTTGTTTGTTTCTTTGCAGACTGCTGCGGGAACAGTGGATCAGAGCCAAATATGAAAGAAAAGAATTCATTCACAGTGAGAAGCAAGAACCCTATTCTGCAGGTAGTGACAGAAAGTTTTGTCAGAAAAGTGTTTCAATGTCCAGCATCTTCATTGTTTTTTTCTTTTTTTCTGATAAACTAGCTTTATGTTGATCAATGCTTATACTTTGTAAAATGGGAGGGGAAAGTATGATTCTTTGGGAAAGATGTCTCCTGGCACTCTCTGTATTTGACTGGAAAAAAAATCAATGCCTGATACAAAAATTAAGTAATTCACGAGTGCTTCTATTGACTTCAGTGGGATGTGCCCCAACAGTAAGTCAGCTAAAGTAAAGTCAGCGAGCTGCTTCCTGGTGGCAGGAGGCACAAATGCAAATTAAAATGGAGATAAGGGTGTTTATCCCATCAAGGTGACTCTTCCTTTAGAAAGGTAAGTAGGATTATTAACACTGGTTAATGGTAGGTAAGTGTGCAAGGTGCCCTGCCCTTTCCAAATTTCCATTTCACAGCTGTCTTTCCACGAAATTGCAGTGTCTTTCTTCGCTGGAACATGGTCTCCGTGTGGTATAGTAAATGCACGTGATGTTTTGCAGTTGTAGAGACAAAGTGCTTGTGGCATTTCAGCACTCACAGCACAACAACCAGCAGGATGGAGGTCTTTTTAATGGGATTGTACGAAGGAGCAGGTGGATTAGGTGACTTCGTTTTGGAAAGGCAGAATGTGAAGAGGAAGCACAGGGTCCAGCTAGGTTTGTTGTGAGGCTGCACCAGCAAAATAACTGGCATTAAAGACTGTATGAGATTAGCTGGGTGTTCCTTTGCTGTGTGGAAGTGGCATTTATTTTGCATTTTAAGTAGTCAACACTATAGCTGTGTGCATGGATGGCTCTGGGATGATTTTATTAGCAAAGAGCATGTTACAGATGAAAGGTTAAAATATTGTTTTCATGTTGCTTTTTGAGGTTGATAATAAGCAGGTAGTATCAGCAGTTTGCTGCTGTTAAAACTGCAGTTAAAAATCTGGTATCATATGGCTTCAATTTATGCTTAGAGCAATTTTTCTGTGCTATTTTGTGTACATGAAACGTGCATGAGTGTGTGTGCAGTATCCATATGCAGTGTACTGTGCACAAGTTAATTTTAGTTTTTCAAAGTAGGGTGCTGGAACGCAGCATGTGCTCTTAAAAATAGTTGAATTTCTTAGATAGCTTTGGAATATATCTGCCAACATGTGTATAATGCTCGCTCAGAAATAATGTTTCCAATTTACACTGTGCAACTTCTAGGTGTAAAACCCTTGGTTCAATGAGGTACTTCAGACAAATGAATAATTTTAAGGATGTGATTAGATCTGTTGACTCCAAGAAGAGCGTGTACCTGCTTAAAGTTAAGTATGTGCTTCAGTGCTGTGTGAGAAGGGCAGTGTGTGCTGAGCTTTCTGAAAAATATTATAGGCAGAGTTCAAGCAGGAGTTTATTTTAGCAACATATTTTTGATGACTTTCTATATAATGTCACCGCATAATGTTTAACTTCATGGTGAAGTGGTAGGTTTTTTCTCTTCTCTTTGAAGTTCTAAAACCTTTAAGGACAGAATAAAATAGATGGTTTTAAGCCATTTTAAAGAACAGCACTCTTAAAAAGAGAAGGGAAAAGGGAGGGAAACCGGTGGGCATCTTCTAGGTTGTGTATTAATGCTTTCAGGTTGTATATTTTCCTTGAGAATTATATTGTCATTGAAAAACAACATAGGAGTTGGGTAAATTACCTGTGAAATACCGGCCAGGTCTTCGTTTGCTCATTCTTTGGGCCAGCAAATGCCTAATGCAGCTTCAAGGCAGATCTGGTAACTGTTCCTTGGGGTGTCCACATTTGTGTTACAGTCAAACACAGCTGGGGAGGGGACACCAAACTTGCCCTGTGGACTCTTCCCATGTGCTGACACAAACAGCCAGGTATGGGTACGTGGCCCTACCTCACCCTGCGCCAAGGCCCGTTCCTTGCTCTGAGCAACGTGGCACGGCTCCGTTGGGAGCTGCATTTTCACCTCTTCTGCTGTGAGGCTGAGCTGGGCGCTGGGACATGGGAGCTGAGGGAAAATCCCTTGTCCTGCAAAAAGTAGCACCTGGAGGTTTTCACCTGTGTGCTGGGACAGTCTTTGTATTGCTCAGGTCAAATGAGGATGCCTGGTCACTCCATAACGTATGTGGTCCAGGAAGAGCAGCTTGGCCAGCTGGTGTGAACCAGAGAGCTGCTCTGAGCTGCGTTGTCTGCGAGCCCTCCAAGACCAGCTGGAGTTGGCACATGCAGGGGAAACGGAGCCACGTTACTTGTCCCAGCTATGCCCTTCTCGCTGCTCGCAGGGGTTTAGACTGTTTCCAGGCACAACAGTGTTTTGGAGGATCTACTCTGCAAGGGGTCATCCTTTTGCCCCTGGTTTTACCGGGCTTAGCGCTGCTGGGCACAGGAGGATACAGGCACTGGATCTGGGCCACTGCTTTTCGTCTAATGACCTCCTGAACTGCACATAAACATGCTGAGGTGGGACCAGCCCAGAGGCTTTTCCCTTGCCCACCAATTTGTATCTCATTTGAATGTATGTAGATATTTTTCTTTCCTTTTATTGTTGTGTTGGACCATTTTTCTCACTATTCTGAATTCCCTGGAGGAATGTTAGATTACCAGTTTCGAAGCATGAAACATTTATTGCTAATAGAGATGTCAGGATCCATTTTCTGGTATTTGTTGGAAGATTTAATTCCATTTTCCAATCCCAGAGGCAGTTTTGCACTCTGATATTTGTTCAAAAAATGCATAAAACTAGAAAAACGCTCTCTCTGAATATTTTTGAGCAATATCCTTTTCCAACCCTGGTCAGAAATCCGGTGTCTTCACTTTCGGAAAAGCCTTTGGGGAGAGACTGTCTGGAGCCTGCAGATGCCAAACAGAAGCTCTCGCAGCTGAACTGACAGACCTTGGAGAAATGAGTCTTGGGACAAGTGTCAGATGTGCAAGTGAGAGCTGAGATACAGTCATGTGGAGAAGCCTGGCGGGAGGATGCAGCAAACTGCTCAACTGCTAGCAAAGAGTTTAATTAAGCAAAGGAAGTGTGGCAGGAGTAGGGAAGGAGCAGCCCTGGCTCTGCTCCTCCAAAAGGCTTCATAGAGCACCCAAAACAGCTGGAAACCTCTGTCCAGGTGTAGAGCGCATGCAAGAGGGTGGAAACAGAGCTAGGACAGGACTGACCTTGTGTCTTTCCAGAACCAGGATGTGCTCAGTTTGGGGCAGTGTTTCTTGACCACAGAGTATCCTGGGCACTCGTTTTGCAGCTCTGATCTCCTGCCCCAGTGTAGTCTGACACTTCGCTCCTCCCATGTCCTTTTCCCCGTGTCTTTTTCCAGTAAGGAAGAGGCTTCTCTGTCACCTTTAAAATCCATGTGTGTAGCGTATTCAGGCAACCCCTCTGTAGGATGAAAGTGCCAGTAGGGCAGTGACATGGAATTGGAGTTTCCCTGTGTTTATCACTTTATTCCCTAGCCTCATCTGAACAAGGAACAACCTCGTGCCCTCCCGGGTATCCGAAGCCGAGCTCTCCATAAGGATCATGTGCAAGTGGCTTGAGAGCCAGGCTGCAGCCAGCGCTGGGGACAGATCTCCCGTGAGGCAGCAGTCAAGAAAATCCTGCTTGGGAAAATGGTCCTGCTTCAGTCCCTGCTCCAACGTCCCCAATCAGACACATGGTTGTACTCGGAAGTCACAGTGTTTGCCCTCAGTGGAGGATTTCAAGGGAACTTTTCCGGAGCTGCTTGTTTCTACAGGAAGCCTTTGAGCACAAGCCCATGCCCTATTCACAGCCACAGCTTTTAGCTCTTATACCCTGAATTAGTTTTTCAAACTCTGATGATTCCACTCCTCCAAAAGAGCCATCATTAATGAGTATATTAGCCCCATTGATTTTTAGTGTGAGGAGTCGGTTTGAGTTCAGATAGTGCAGAAGATTAGTAAAACAGTGATTAAATGCTTCGGTGATCCACTATCAATTCTTAGATACACCCTTTTATACATTCGGGCTGTTAAATCAGCTGAAGTATTAGAGCCAACTAATTTGTTTGCCCTAGCCAGACTTTATAAGGCAAAACATTATTTAGACCCCAGTAATTCTGCTTAACACCACGGTCTGCGTTCCTCACACTATCGATACATTAGTTGCACAGTGGTGTAGAATAATACCAATTTTAAGAACCTCATATTAACATGTTTCGGGCTGGCTTTATCCCTTCTGATAAATGAACTGCTTAAATTACTGTCAGTCTCCAGCTAATTATCCCCTTTAACAGAGTTTAATGGGGCACAAGTACTGAATTCTCCTGGAAATGAAGAATAGCAGGAATTGCAGTTAAAGTCCAAATCTGGAACTTCAGGCAAATGAAAGGTGTGTGTGATCATTTTGAAAAAGTGTGAACATTTTGTCCTGCTGTTGATAGGCAGCAGTTACGCTAATGCTTTCCGTAAGTCCTGCTGAGAGTTAGTTTGTTTGGGTACCTTTGAGTCCTCTTTTAATCGCATGAATTTATGCTAGCCAAGGGAGTTGTGGAGGAAGCAAAGCAGAACACTTTTCATGAAACATGATATTTGGAATTGGTAAAGGTGCAGCTGCCGCAATACATGTCAGGTCACAAACAAAAGAAGGCGATGTGTATGTAGCCAAGAAAATGCAAAAGGGGCTCATTATTCTCCTAAAAACACATCTTTGTCTTCTCACGGACCTTCTGGTTGCTGTTGGGATGCCAGGAGAAATCGGTGTTAGTTCCATGTGCACCGAGCCCTCAGGTGAGCTGAGAGCACCATCGGCATCACGTGCATCTTTGGGCTTTGATTTGACATTAGCAAATGAAGAGCTGATGAGCTGCTTTATGCTGGGTGCTAAATCTCTTAATGCTTGTCAGGAAAAATGGCTTAACTGTGTAGTTATGGTCTTGGAAGTGTCTGTCCGCAGGCTGAACATGGATAAAGCTGCTGTTGGAGAGGAGGGCTACCCGGTGTCTGCAGGAATGGATGGAGG